TAAAAAATTAAAAATTAAAAAAAAGAAATTGACATTAAAAAAACAAAACAAAACCAACAACATTAACAAAATGAGACTGAATGGCTAAAGACCATTCCGGACATTTTATTTGGTCTACATCGTCCTCACTGACCTCATAGCTGTAGGTGTCCCCAGGCTGTACAGCCCCTGGGAGGAGACTGCACCAGGGAGATTCAAAGTGTCAGGGGGGTCACCTTTGAGTTGGCACTATAACTCCCTGCACACTATGCCACCAGAGCTCATATTTGGCCTGCAGTTATTTTTAAAATAATTCGAGCCAATATTTTATATATTTGTCATCTAAAAGCCCATAGATCTAGCTTCTCTTGGAAAAACAATAAAAAGATCTGGTACTAGTAGGCCTGCACTCTGCCATGGTGGTTCTCTTTAAAATGGCCTCTTACAGAGTGTCATGGGTGATTTTCTTAAATACAGAAACAGATTTTATTCATGTCTATCTTGAAGACAATGGTTTAAGAAATGAGAATATTTATTTGTTAAAAACACCCAGCCCTCTAAGCTTTCCCTATCAGAATCTGAGCGTGTAACAGCTGATGACATTGCTACAAACTGGAGACTGTACTGTCCCCAAACTACTGGCATTAGGCCTGGATGTAAAGCAGGTTTCTGTTGCCTTTTCCAGGCTATTTTCTCCCTTTATTTAAAAACCTGTCATTAGACTGTGACATCTGCTACCTGGGTTATTTCCTGCTGCACTCAGCTACAATCCTTAGTTTCCATCTCCTCCTTACTCTCTACTACTCCAATTCTACTCCTCAGGGATTTTAATCTCCAAGACACCAAGATGAGCTTCCCTCTTACCTCTGAGTTCCTTATTTCCTTCTGGTAATTCTGTCTTCTAACCAACCCTAAGAGCTTTGGTGGCTCAGTGCTAAGGAATTGCACTGCCAACCCAAAGGCATGAGTTTCAAATCTTCCAGTTGCTCCACAGGAGAAAGAGATGCAATCTCCTCCTGTGGAATTTAATTTACTGCCTCTGAAAATCTGCTGAAGGTCAGTTATAAGTTAGCTCTGACTTCACAGCACATAACAACTACTACCAACCCACTCCAACTGAACTTTGCCCGAACTCTTCAATAATCTCAAATGCCCACCTTCATCTTCCTTCTCTCCAGCTCACTTCTGTGTACTCCATCGCCACTGTTTGTGCATTGATGCCACTATCTTCTGTGAATCTGTAGGAGAGCTGCTAAACCAAAGGTGGCGCCACTTTAGTGGTTTGAATCTCCCAGTGACTCCAAGATAAAAAGACGGTAGTCTCTTCCCAAAAATCTGCTGGATCAAGCACCTATGTTTACTTAAAACAATGTTAAAATGGGGGCGGGAATCTGCTAGAGTCTATTTCAATTTAACAACTGAGATCCAAATTTGCCCCAATGAGGTACTCGTTTTCCTTAACCCAGATGATTAAATTTCTTGGCAAATCATCAATTCTTGTTTGTATACACTATTAACTCCCTTCTCTATTCCTTATACACATGTGATTCAAACAACAACTCAATTAAATTCAATTGAGAAACTGGAGACAGCAGAGGGACAGCTCTATCAAGTTGTTATAAAAAAGAATATGGGAAGCAGCTGAAAGGAAGACCTAGGTCAAGAAAGGATTTTATTTATTTTTTTAAAGATGGGAAACATAACATCATGCTTACATGTCAATGGAAATGATACAGAAGGGAGAAAATAACTAATGATATAAGAAACGTGCAATTCCCTAGGACCATAATTTTTAATAGGTTAACACACTAGATAAAATCTAGAGCACAAGGGAAGGTGTTGGCTTTTGCTAGAAGAATAGAAAGGTCATTCATACAAACAGGAGAAGAGGTGCAGAGGCAAAGTCAGGTAAGTAGCTGTGTTGGTGGGAGTTGGAGGAAGTTCACTAATCTTCTCTTGAAGCATTCTTGTTACTTTCTCCTTCTGAGAAGATTTTACTTGGTTCCAGAAAATGCTTTCTCAGTCTCTTTTGCAGTTTTCTTTCCTTTTCCCAAATTGAATTTGAGAGTGCCCACCAGTTTTCTAGCATCTGAACCCTTTTATTTTTATAGTTATGTCCATTCATTTACAAATTCAGGCTTTAAAGCAACTATAACCTAATGACTCTCAAATGATCATCTCCCGCTTACCTAAGTGTGCTGAACACTGACCTGTAAGTCAACTGGCCATCTCTATTTGGTTGTACAATAGACTTCTTACATGTGCATTTGCAACTCTGGCTAATCCCAACTACAGAATATGAAATGTATTGATGAGCCTTTTCAGTTAGTTCACTATGAAAGCATTCATGTGGCTAACTCCTCTGTATGTATGTGTTTCTCTAGGGTAGGGGACACTCACACTTTTTACTGTGGTCTCACTAACACAGTTCAGTCTAAGCCACTGTCATCTTGCCCAGATAACTTCTTGTTGTTGTTCTCAGGGGCCAAGTCGAGTATGAACAATAGGTCCTATCTTGTGCATCCCACCATCTCCGATACACTTAAGCCCACTGATGCCACATTCTTCTTCATAAAATCCAGCTTCACAAATTATTTGCTCAGTATACAGATTAAACATAAATGAAGGATACCACTCTGCCCTACACCGCTTCTAATTTTAAACCAAGCAGTGCTCCCTTGCTCTGTTCAGATAGGTTTCTAGGTTGCTTAGTCTAGGTACAGGTTTCTCATGAGCACAATTAAATGCTCTGAGATTCCCAATCTTCTAAATGTTAGCCTTAGTTTGTTATGATCCACAGTCAAATGACTTTGCATAGTCAATAAAACACAAATAGACATTCTTCAGGTATTCTCTACTTTCAGCCAGGGTCCATCTGACATCAGCAATGATATCACTAATGCCATTGCCTCTCTTAAATTTAGTTTGAATGTCTGGCTATTACCTCTCTATGTACTTATTTTTCTAGCTATTTTTTAATGATATTCAGCAGTATTTTGCTTGCATGTGATATTGATATTGTATACTAATTTCCAAATTCTGTTGAATCACCTTTCTTGGGAATAGCAACAAACATGGATCTTTTCCAGTCAGGTGGCCAGGAAGCTGTCTTAAAAACTTCCTGACATGGACTGGTGAACACGTCCAGGGCTTCATCT